TTCCTGTGGACATAACAACTGCTGGATTCTCTCCCTCCCCAGTGTGGGATGTCACTGTTGAACTACCAGGACCACATCCTGTAAGCCAGTCTAATAAATCTCCTTTTAATATATGTGTTAACTATTTTAATACATGTATTCCTTCTATCAGTTGTGTTCCATTACATAACTGACTTGTACCTTGTAATGAATAAAATAAGCTGTTATTTGAAAAGAGGACATATATCAAGATATCAAGAAAGCCAGGAAAGAATCTCATCACATGAGGTCCTGCCATAAGAAGTGATGCCTTAACTACAAACACTGAGCCACTAAAGCTTCTACATTCTGGCACTGAGTGGGAGTAGGACTTCTCCAGTGTACAGACACCACCACCACTCCTTAGAAAGTAGGACTAAGTGGCCCCTCTTTTTGTTCTCAGGCACTTCCTTGAGCTCTCTCTCTCTCTCTCTCTCTCTCTCTCTCTCTCTCTCTCTCTCTCTCTCTCTCTCTCTCTGGATACTCTTTAGTTTACTTTTCCATTTCCCTTTTGAAAACTAAATTCCTGGAACCTAAGTTTCACCCCCGTAGGAGCAGGAACCCTAATATTCACAAGCAATGCCTACTTACACCTGTATTCTCTGATTACGAACTATCAACTGAGGTTTCAATAGCTCAAGGACCCCATATCTTCTGTGTTAGGCTCTGTACTACTACTGTGTTCCACCTGAGAGGAAAAAAGTATCTGCCAAATGCACCTCCATCAACCTTATAATTCTTCAGATCAGCAACACTTACGCATAAATCAGTTTGCCTTTAAAGAAACAATCCAAGAACCCTTTACTAGTAACCTTGACCAAAGCAACTGGTAGTGACCACTTATAAATTCCAGGTTCTGTCTTCAGACTGGTCAACAAACCAAGCAAAGGGTGAGGAAGCAGGACCAATGCTGTTCACAAGTTATGAGGAAGTGCCCTGCATTTCTCATTGTGTTGGACTGTAGGGCTGTGAAGCCTTTTGCTTATGCTGTCTCCCAGAGCCTCTATGCTGTGTCCCATCCCACCTGTCAAATGCTCACTGGTACTGAGCCCCTAAAATTTCCCCTGGGATATGGGGAAAGGCCCTGTGGGTTACTACTTCCCTTAACTGATTTTCACTTTCAAATTGTTGTGTAAACTATGCCACAAAACCCAGTGTTTTCCCTCTGTAGTCAACAGCAAAACTGAATCAGCCCCATGACTTTCCTGTTTATACAAGACTATATTTGACACCTTGTCTTTTCCTTTTGACAAACATGGTAATGAACATTTTCATCTTTGGTGTTTTACCTCTAGATCTTACTGGAATGGGAGATTAAAGAATAAATATTCCACATAGTGTTTCCTTTGAAAAAAAAAAAAAAGAAACCAAAGATATATTTACAGTTGAGGGATTAGGAGTTAGGCAGATTTCCTTGGTAGACAGACAGGTGCAAGGGCCATGGCTAGGTTAAAAAGATGGTGAGCTTTCAAGAGAGCTGGCTTCCCCCTCAGGCTCCTGATCTAAGATGAAAGCCTCATAGCTTAAAACAATGGCCACGTGGTCTTCTGCCAGTAGATCTCCTGCCAATGGACTGGCTTAGTAAGTTTTAGACCAGATCAGGGCATGTTTATCCAACAGTTGTGGAGCATCCCATCTTTCTGACCAACCCTAAATTTAGAGAGGAAAACTGTTCAGACACTTAAGATACCCTGTTCTCAAAAAGAGACTGGAATTTTCAGCTTCCCAAGACACTCCCCTCCACAGCCCCCACCTGTGGAGGGCTTTCTCTGTATCTGCTGTGTTTCCTCACCCCCAATCAAAGTCCTTCCTCAACAACTGATTCTGTCTGTTCCTATCTACTGTATGAGATTTCTCTACTGCTACCTGTTGAGTTCAAGATTTTTCCTTCCTTTTAATTCTTTAACTGGCAAAGAAAAAAAAAAAAAAAAGAGGTGGAGCAAGACCCCCCTACATGGTAACAGTAGTATAAACCCACCACAGAGGGGATAAATGACAGGATAAAAAGGCCTCCCAAACCAAGCACCCAAGCCTTTCTTTGCTCACATAGGATAAGGGGCATAAGGTCTCATGGTCCAGTGTGTGCCAGTCAAAGGCCAGTGCTGGAAAGCTTCTGGCTGCTTGGCTACAACAGCCATGTTTTTCTTTCTTTCCTTTTGTTCTTATTTCACGCAGTCAGATAAAAAAGACATGGAGCTAGCCATGGTGTGCTGGTTAAGTCATAAGAGAAGTGAGCTAAGGAACTCTGTAGGAACAGTAGATTCAGTGAACCCTTTGATACTGACACAATGACCTAAGGCCGGAAGGTCAAGCACACTTAAAATTCCTCCTAAACAGAATGTAACTAGAAGGGAATGTTTTAAGGCAGAGAAGGAGGACAGGGAAAGGAGAGTCAATGCTGTGGTCAAAATAGACATTTTTTTTTTTTTTTACTTTGATTAGCAAGAGGAAAACATTAAGCTTCACTTGGCTCCTATCATCTCTTAATTTTTCTTATTAGCTAGTGTTGTTTTCCCACAGTTCTAAGCATCCTTCAGTTCTGTTTAGACATGTAACAACAGTTTGGAGATTCAACCTAACTGCTTCCTCATACTTCAGGAAATAATACTCGTGCCGGTAGGCGAAAAAACATCCTAAGATTGAAAGCATTGCTTTACAAAAAAAGTAGAGAACATAAAATAATAAACTAATCCTTCAAATTTAACAGTCTAGAAAAACTGGAGATCAATAAAAAAAATACACTAAAAAAAAGGAAGTTTCTAATAAAATGAACTTGAAAAGGATAGTACACAAATACTATCTAAAACAAACTAGCAAAGGGATCTTGACTATGAACTCTCTGAAATTAGGAATGAGGTTGATCCTGCTATAGCAAAAAGCTTAGAATGCATACTTAATACATACTTACTGAATACATTTATATAAAAGAGTTTTAGCTGTAATAAAATACTTTGCCCTGCTAAGAAAAACAAGAAAACAACTTGAGCTAAGAATACAAGTGTGGAAAGTCACAGGGAAAACAGAGGTTTGAAACAAGGAGAAATGAAAGAAAGCAGATGACAGAGGTCATAAGGAGAAAACCACATCAGTCATGATGGAGCCAGGAGGAAAACACAGGGAAGTGTCATCTATGTACACAAGGCAGACCGAAAATAAATCTACAGTGCTACTGCATTGGTCAGGATTCTCTAGAGAAGCAGAATGTATACAATGGCCTTCTCTCTCTGCCTCTCTTTGCCTCTCTATGATTTGTTAAAATGACTTACAGGCTGTGGTTCAACTAATTCAAAAATGGTTAGCCGTGAAGAGAAAGGCCAAGAAAACAGAAGATTCTCCACAATATGTGCTAGAATCCTAAAGAAGCAGGCCAGTGTCTCCTTAAGATCTGGATCTTCTTACCTCAAGTTTAGCAAAAGAATCCCTCCCTGGTGTGCCCCTGACTTTGAATTTTAGTTTAAGCCCAGATGTAGTCAAGGTGACAACCAAGAATAGTCATCACAGCTGTCAACACGGTAGAATAAATAGACCATAGCCAAGCAAACTTAAAACAAACAAACCTTAGGGGAAAGAGGGGGCACACAAAAGCTTCTAGACAGGTCCTGACAGAGACAGAGGTGGCTTCCTGCGGCTCATCTGCTTTGGAACCCTTCTCTAACACTTCTACTCTGTGAGCTTTGGTAAGGTAACTTAACCTTTCTGGAGGCCATCTCGTACTTTACTGTGGGATGGAAATAATAATCCATGCCTCCCAGAGCTGTGTAAGGATTATAAGAAATTCTGAATGAACAATCCTCCACATAGTTCTGGACTTACTGATTTATTATTATAGTTCTTATTTAGTTCTCAAACTCTTTGAAACTACTACAGGCAACCTGTGACACACATTAGAGTCATTTGGAGGTCTTTAAAAACAAACAAAAAACCCAGAACTCAGACCTACCTCACCATGACAGCCAGTAATAAAAGCCAAAAAGTAGTGCCAGTCACATCTGCTACCAACTGTAGGCTGAAAGAAAGAAAACTTAAGAGTTCTTAGGCTGTGGGAGAACTGTATGTAAGTCCTTCATTCCCCTTTCCTCTCTCCATCCTTGCCATCCTGCTTCCTTCACACTGGGTCAACTGACTGATCACTTCTGGCTTCCCGCTGATATGCTAAGAAAACTCTTCATAGCTCAGGTCATAGGTCACCAGTTCCCCCATAATGCCCGCCCACCTCTCCTCTAAGGAAACTGGCTTTCAGGTGCCTAACATCCTGCCTTTAATCCAGACTACTGACTCCTCCTCCTCCTCAAGCTAAGATGCCCAGACCAGGACCAGGCTAGAAATAACCTAGAACCCTGGTGAGAGTTTCTGGTTACAGGAAAACAAACCACCAATACAGGTGAATGTGGCCTAATCTTCATTTTTGAACATATTTCTACAAGAAGCTTCACTTATTCCTAGGTTAAATGGCTCAGGGAGTTGCTAGACACCACCTACAGTCACATGGGGGCAAGTCAGTCCTAGAACGAAGCTAATCCCGGGGAATTCAGAAATGAGAAATACAAAAATCAGTTTTTCACATCTCCAAAAGACAAATTACTAAATTAGGCCAATCCTGAAAAGGTATGGTTATAGCCATGGAGTGAGTCAGTCAATTCCTTCTGGGGCTTTGAGATGCCTTTTCTATTACTTACAACCAAATGCACCCCAGTAATACAATTCACATTTAAAAATTATACATTACATTTGTAAAAATTGTGATGGTGCTATAAATTACACATTAGTTTTTAAAATTCTGTTATATTTGATAGCTGTTACAATATTAATAACTGCTATTTGGCTTCAGGTTGTTTTAATATGAAATAATGGTAAGCTCACAGTCAGTATATTATGTAATTATGGGGAAAGGCTTCCATAAGATATTCCATAGAAGGCAATTAGTATGGGGCTAATGCCAGATCACCAAGAAAAATAACAGTCAAATAAAACAATACAACGTATATAATAACACAATGGTTTTATTGGTGGCAGAAGAAAGATTCTTCCTTCCACTTGTAAAGATATTTGCTCTACTAAACTTAGTATTTTCCCCCTTGCTCTGTGTAGGTTGAATCTTTTCCCTAAAAACTGCTGGGGTTTTTGTTGTTGTTGTTGTTGTTGTTTTCCCTCCAAATATCATAGCCAGCATGGTGATTCTCATTGTGAAGAAATGGAAAAAAAAATCTATGAATGGCCTTCCCCTTCCAGGATGTTTCAGTCATCAGCGTCTTCCTTCGCAAAGAATCTGTTTCAAAAACAAGGAAGAAAATAAAATTGGACCTCAGACTACTTTTCTATACTTCATTAACGCATAATTCTGTTGAAAATTTTTTGAAAATAAAATGTTCATATAAATACCAGTAATCTTAAATAGAATAAATTAGACAAAAACTATCCAGTTCATAAACTTAAGTCTCTATAGAACGCAACATTAAAACTCCAAAATTGGGGCAGGGCAGTGGTGGTGGTCGTGGTGGTGGTGTGCACTTTTAGTCCCAGCAATTGGAAGGCAGAGGCAGGTGGATCACTGAGTTCAAGGCCAGGCTGGTCTACACAGTGAGCTCCAGGACAGCCAGGGCTACGCAAGGAAACCCTATCTCACAAAACCAAAACCAACCAACCAAACAAACAAACAAACCATCAAAATTTTAAGAAGTGCATAGAATTTTTCCTTTGGAAGTATATGTCTGGTGCTGTTAAATCCTTTCTTACAAGGAACTGATTACAGAAACCTGGAATAAGTAATAGCTCCTTCACAAACAAAGATCTAAATGAGAGACAGACAACCAAATGAGCTTTTACCCTATCCTACCCAATTCAACATTTTCTTAGTAGATCTCTGAAATGGGTTAGTTCACCCAGGCCATTAATCATTTACTTTGGACTGTCATCTGTCCCCTCCCTCTACCTGTTCCAACTTATTCAATACCTGTATTTTTTTTTTTAAGATTTCTTGTTATTTATGTGCATGCACATGTGTGTTCGAGAGTTCTTGAACATGTATGTACGTGTGTGTGTGTATGTGTGTGTGCGTGTGCACGTGTGCAGTTGTCCTAGAGGATACAAGACAGTGTTAGATCTTAGTAGCTGGAGTTACAAGTGTTGTGAGCCTCCCAGTATTGGTGTGGAAACTGAAGTTAATTCTCTATAAGAACAAGTGGCACATGCTCTTAACTGCGGAGCATCTCTCCAGCACCAGGTACCATACAGTACAGAAACCACAAAAGTCAGTGGTGACAAGAGCTGAGATAAATAATAAGACATGTTGGGTGCTTGGACAAGGATAAGTAATCGACCACTGCAAACATATAGTCCCTAAGTCTTCCACAGCAAGCAGACTCCTGACTAGACTGCCATTATATAAGAATATCAGTATCCAAAGCTTGGGCTGGTGAGATGGGTCAGTGGGTAAAGTGCTTGCCACACAAACCTGACCACTTGAGTCTGTTTCTGGGATTGCATAAAGGAAGGAAAGAACATACTCCACGAAGTTGTCTCCTGACATCCACATGTATGACATAGTACACATGCTGTCCCCCATCATGAACATACTATGTCATAATATAATGGCAGTCAAGTTGGCATTACAGGATGATAGTTATGTCCATAAAGATCAATCATTTCTCTAACCCTGATATAAAAAAAAATTCTACAGAAACAATGCTATACAAGCTTGTCCAAAATAACCTACATTTAAAAACATAGCTTTTACTAGCTAAAAATGGTGTTAAAACTGGACCTTAGAGGACACAGTCACAGTTTTTTCATAATATCTACAGGTAGCTATTCATTTCAAAGCTTCTAGTTAATAAGCTCTGAAGATCATTCTTCCATTAAGTAAAAAATAAGGACCAAAGCTCAGAATGGGTTCACAGTACACACTGCTGACCTCACAACACTAAGGATTCCCAGCTATCTATCTTACAATTTCTCTCGCTCCAGAGCCAAACATGCAATTTGAAGTACAGACAGGGTCCTCAAATCCTACCTACAGCCAACAGCAGTATTTCTAAGTTTAGATGGGAACTTCCTGTTCTTACTCACACGTTCACAACTGTACCAAGCACATCACATTAGAATTCTAATTTGTAAAAAAGCATCAGTAAGCATTCGTCAGGGTCATGGTCTTCGGTAGCCACCAAGAGCCACATGCAGACCTACTGGGTGCACCTCTCCACCTTTCCTCCTTTACAGCAGTCTCAGACTCCACCCCACAATGAATTCACTGGCTGACCGTGTGAATATATGCTGTCCCTAGGACTAAGGCCAAATAATAAACTCCTCCTACTGTCCAAAGTTTAGGCAGCTTTGCTGTCTAAAGAACTGCATTTCCGAAGTGCACAGAATAATTAGACAGTGTCCAGGAACTAGACCTTTGGAATGTGGGGCTGTCTCCCCTCAAATAAGAGACTCATCGCTTTTTCTCACACTTCCCTGTCACCCCTTCTGTCCCTTGGCCCTGTCACTGTCTTCCTTTGTTGGCCTGCAGTACTGGTCTTAGTGATAGACACAAGTGAGCCAGGCATGTCTCCACACTGGAGAATCAGGGAAACTGGGCTCTGTATAGAGTCTAAAAAATGTTCCTGGAAAGTAACATGCAATTTTGTAACTAAAATTCTATGGCATTTATGCCCAGGAACATTCCTGCAATATAAATGAATGAATTTTAAAATTATATTTTTAGAAGTGATAACAGAAATGCCTAAAGTATTTCTCACTACCCTGTGATTTTTGAGAAAAAATAATACTTTAGCATATGTAACTTAATATTTATATTTGCAGGAAGTCAAATAGCTGACTACCAATGTGTATCTTCTTACTGGATGCTGGTAAATAGAAATGTAAAGAAAATGAGAAAAAAAATAAGTCTTCAATTTTGTAACAAGAACAGGAAGTCATATTTATCTCATTGCTGAATACCCCATTCAAGACAGTTTCTCAGAGATATTTTCTTATACTTCATAGGGTTTAATAATATACTTTTTAATTATAGTGCAAAACTAATTTTCCCCAGTCAACACTGCAAGTCTTGCTCACTTTATTTTTGAGTAAACTTTATGGTAAAGTAGTTTTTTGAAATGATACACAATAAGATTACCATAAAAAAATCAAAATTATTTTTGTTGATACTAGGAATCTAAAATTTTAGTGTCACCTCTTTTTGCTGCAAACAATACAACCCAAAAAAAGTATCTGGACTATGTGAAAGACTGACTTACTAATTTTATTTTGTTGGCTGTCATATGCTAGGCATGCATGGCCTAGCTGCATACCAACATCCAAGATGAAAGTTTTAGTTGTGGGGTATAAAAAGTAAGATTATGACACCTACATTGATTAGGAAATGTTTGCATTGTACTATTTGATATGGTTAAGCTATAGTTACCTCAGGGTCATGGTGTACAATGTATTTTTAAGCAGTGTACTCTTCTCCAAACAAAAATTTTCATGGAAACCAAGCATATAACATACATGAAAGAAACTACTGGAAGTCTGAGAGAACTCAGCCCTCCCCATTTGGGTACACTTTAACATTCCCTAGTGTCTCTACTTCTAGCCTGTTGGATCCTATCCTTCCCATCAACCCAAAGGCAGCTCTGAGAAACCTGATACCCTGCTGAGAACCTTTAGCTTCATTAAACACTGTTTTAAAGGATTTTAAAATCCCCAAGAAGCTGGAAAGAAGATCTCTAGTTTCACTCACTTTAAAGTGACACTTAATTGTAAGCATAAGGAACTCATTTTAAGAGTATATACTCAATCTTCTACAGTGTGAAGTTCTTTAAAATCTTGTATATAGTTTGATTCTGCATTTAAAAAAAAAAACATGAGAGCTGGTTCTTGTATGATACAGAAAAATGCCCAGAGTCAAAAAGCAACTTCTCTTTGATCTACATATGAGTAAAGACTGTTTGATGGCCTTGTATTGAGTGCGAAGAAAAGGCCACGATAAAAGGAAAAGGTGCTACACTAGCTTGCTCTGAGAGTTCAGAAGTCAATTAGCATTAGGCTTCCCTTCAGGCAGACTATCAGATATGAAGTTAAACGTTAGAAAAGGAAACATTCTGTATTTATATTAGAACACTGGAAGTAGTTTCAAACATGACTATGCTTTGGGAACTGAAGGAGACAGCACAGGAACTGTTTTCAGATGAAATATTAGAAGGGACAAATATTGGAACTATTGAATGACACTTACTCAATATATTTAAAGTGCTATTTCAACTTATATCAACATAAAATTGAGATAATTTATTCACCCCCTTTGAAATTCTGAAATTCTTTCCACCCCACCTACATCACATCTCAACTCACACCTGTACCTCAAGAATTCACATCACCTGCAGCTCAAAGACTCAACAGCTACTGTAGGTCACTTATCAGGAGGAGAAAACCTTAGTAGAACTAATAGCAAAAAGGACAAATTGAGAAAAATTTCTGGAAAATTCTTGGAAGGCACTGGAAGAAATTATACTTAAGGCCAGAAGAGTCTGTGGGATGATAAATACCCAATGGGAAATATATTTTAAACTGTCCAAAAGTACTAGCTTGACAGGACGAAAACAAGATAGGTTGGTTACCAAAGATGGTAGAAGTGTTTCCTTCCAAAAGCGAACTAAGAAATAAGGTCTTTGTCAAGTGTGAGATGCCTGAGACTTGTTTCCTCACCTCCTGACCTCTCTTCTCTTCTGGAGATAATTTTCAGACAGCTGTTCTTTCTGAACACGTCTAGACAAACAACAAACAGCCTTCAAATCATATTTCAGCAAGCAGTCATGCTGTTGTTCTGATGCTTGGTGGTATACTGTGAGACATCCCCTCTTTTTAAATAAACTAAACTGTATGAAGCAATACAAAAGCACTCAGCAAGAGGCCTGTTCTCTCATAATTGTGAACCCTAGTGCTACATCTTCAGATATGAGTACACAATTGGATTAACTGCAGAAATGGAGAAAAAAGGATGGGGGCAGATTTAGATAGAGAATGTGGGAAGTACAAAAGAGGAGTTAGAGTTGGGAAAAAAACAGGTGAACTCTTATAAATACAGTACTCATTTATATTTGACTTGGGCCCTAGTTAGTGGGACTGTTTGGGAAAGATTAGGAGGTGTGGCCTTGTTGGAGGGGTGTGTCACTGGAAGTGATTTTGAGGTTTTCAAAGCCCACACCAGGCCTGTTCTTCCTCTCTCTGCCTGCAATTTGTGGATCAGATGTGACTCTCAGCATCACTGTGCTTAACTGCTGCCATGTCCCCTGCCATGATCACCGACGAAGCCTCTGAAACTCTAAGCAACCCCAATTAAATGCTTCTTTTATGAACTGCCTTGGTCATGGTGTTTCTCTAGATCGACAGAACAGTTAACTAAGACTAGGTATGGAACAAAGGATTTCTAGTAGCATTTGTGGGAGAAAGACTGGTGAAAAAGTGGCGAATCCTACTCAACTGAAAGTGCATCACATGAAGCACCAATAGCTCAACGTTTACTGGACACTAAGTGCATCTTCCTTTTTATGAAAACTACCTCGCCATGTCAATTTTACCTTTAGTAAAATTAGTTCCGAGCCCGAGGAGGTTGGTAAAACTGCTGTGTTGGCCGAGTGGATCTCCGTGGCTGGCCATCACCTCCTCTACGAAACTCAATGGTATGATCATAGGTGCCTTCTTCTTCCTATTTGCAAAGAATAAAGATTTAATGTGTTTAAAGTAGTTCCAACTTTCCTAAGTTAAATATGGTCTATAGTCTCCATGTTAATATACCTCCTTAAGCTGTCAACAGAGAGAGGCAAAGGTAAAGGGGCAAAGGCAGAAATATAAAGGAAACAATGTCTAAACAATAGCATGATATCACATCAATGATGAAATGTAAGGAACACACAGAATATCAAATATAATTTTCTTGAGTATTTGGACTTCTGAATACATTTTGGGTGTTTATTGCAGAAGGACTCTTGGTAAGATACCAAAAAAGAGTTGAAGAGGAAGACAACATTCACCAACTATCTACCTTCATTCAGTGAAATCTTCAACATTATGAATCTTACATCTACAGAGAGAAAAAAATAACAAATTGGAATGGAGGTGGGGTTATGCAGTTTAAATATTCAAAAAGCTTCATGCAAGAGAGAGCATAGGAAAGTATTTATTCCCTCCTCCTTACTGTGAGGGTGGATCTACCAACTGAAGGATGAGCACAAGGCGATTAGGAGACAGATTAAAGAGTGAGCAGGAAAGTACAGTTCATCATTAACACCTGAAAAGGACTTAAAGGCAACAAAATAGAGTCAAAAACACACGGTTTCTTACTGAGTGCTGCCACCCTAGGGTTGTTTTTTTTTTTTTTTTTTTTTTTTTTTTTTTTTTTTTTTTGTTTTTTGTACTTTTTAAAAATTAATTCAGTTATGAATTAGGTATCCCATAAAAATGGAAAAAAAAACCTGGCTCTCAGTTTTATTTATGCAAAAAACAGCATCTATTTTTACTGAGTAGAGTTTAAATTACAACTAAATTATCAGAGTACAATAATTTGCATGATTTTGGAAATTTATTCTTTTCTCCCTCCTCGTGTTAAGAAGTCTTTTTCCTCAAACTTTCCTTTGACTCTAATAATAACATAGGAAATTATAAGAAAGCCTGAATTACACTTCTTGAATTTTTACATAGCCAACTACTGCACTGTTACCTGATAGAAAGAGAGATGCTAAGACATTCTGACAAAGAAATCCTATTATTTAACAGTGATAGCTAGTATTAGGCATGAACCTTCTTCTCATTATTAGACATCCTTCACATTATTCAAAAGAAAGCACCATATTGTACACTTTTTAGAAAGGATACTGAAGTCTGGGAACCAATAGATCTAAGACAAGTAAGACAGATTTAGTTTGAATTCAAACACTACTGTTTAAATCTCAGTCTCCATCTGCATGTAAGCCAAAAATTAATGATCATTTTCAAGGAGAACTCTAACAATTCATATGATGTAATTCAGTAGCCACTTCTTAGAGAAAAATGTCCGATAGCTCGCCTTTTCCCAAACCCCTTTCAAAGGTCAATCTCAAACTGTTTTAGGGGCCTCAGATCTGGAACTCTGCACAGCAATTAAAATGCAGAAAGAGAAGTTTAAAAGTTCTTGAGAAAGGAGAGAGCTATCATTTTATTATTCTGGGCACTGTTCTGAATGATGATTATCAAATATTACTGCAAATTTGAAAAGGAGATATACTTAATTTTATGACAAATGACAACACTTAAAGCTTTGCATATTAACTGAAAAGGATGAAAATATATCTGGTACTTTGGGAGAGGAAGTAATTATTGCAGGGATGGGAACAGAATGTTAATTTTCTCTACACCCAGCTGCATAACTGGCTGGAGAACGTCTGGAAGGTCCTTGCTTTGCAATGAAACACTTCGTCAGAAGTTGGACACCACATGTGCTGAGCAACTGCCTAATAAAAATGATATTGCTATTGAAAAAGCTGTCTCTTTTGGGCTTAAAAGATTCAGACTGTACTCACTAGAGCCAATTAGTGTTACAGAGATGACCAACCATGAAATTTCTTTTACATAATTTGATGTCTTCACAATTTTTTTATATAAAGTAGCAGTCAAAAACTGAGATTCTGATAGCTTACTTTTAATTTTTTTCCTTTTTTTATTTAAATTTGAAACAAGGTTGTTTTACATGACAATCACAGTTCCCTCACCCTGCCATCTTCCCTTACCACCCCCACCAAACCCTAGCCCATCCCCTTTCTGCTCCTCTTTCATGGGGAGTCTTCAAAGTCTGTCATATCATTTGAGGGCAGGGTCTTCTTTTCAATTACTGTCAAAGAACAATCTTTGCCTTCATTAACTTCTTAATTCCTCCTGCAGTACAGCTGAGGGCCAACACTGCTTACATGCAATACCCACTATGGTCTGCAGGAGGACAGTTGAGTGGTCACTGCATCCCCATCCACTTTATACAGCACACAGTTCAGATGAACAGATGTGGGGCCTGACCTGTCTTTAATGAAATCTCTATGTCGTCCTAGCCTCCCTTCTTGCTTTAGGGTTCAAAACTCTATTAGAGACTGAAAACTCAAAAAATTAATTTCATAGTTAATGAGCAACTAAACCAACAAGAACAACAAACTGAAAATGCATTCGAACCAGCAGCATCCTAGGAGGCCATCTAGTCCATCACTTGGGATTTGATAGACATCTGTCAACCTAGAGTGTTAAAGTAATTTTCCAAAGCCACAGAGCTCAATACAAGAAGTTCTGGTGGGAACCTTTTTTTTTTTTTTCCAGCTCTCAGGATTTCTTTAAAAGGCTTGGAATAACTTCTATGTGATAGAAACACCCAAATGTGATCTTCACACAAGATTTTGAGACATCATGCAACTTCATTAGTTATTAGGACTCTAAACTTTTGCTCACTTCAGCTATGTTATCAAATAAAGTCTGGTTTCAAAGAATGTATATTCACAGAGCCCCCTTTTCCTGCTTATATTCACTAAGCCCAGTGAAACCTTCCATGAGCAGGCATACACCAACATAACCCCTAACACACACACACACACACACACACACACACACACACACACACACCTACATATGTTTGATCTGTAAGTGAGCTGCTCTATGAAAGTTTGTTAGTAGGGGTCACTTGAAACCCACAAGTAACGGTCTGATTATATGCTTACATCATATAATCTCTGTCTCAGGAACACTGGGTGAAATAAGGGTGAAATAAGGTTAATCATAAGAACAGGCATGAAAGGGAGGAACTGAGGAGCATGGATGCTTGCTAAGAGCTGTGTTGTCTTTGTGTACAGCAAAGAACAATGTCACTTGAATGAACAGGCAGCCTACAATATGGGGAAAATTTTTACTAGGTATACATCAAGCAGTTAGTAGCTAGAATATAAAAGAATTTAAAACTTACATGCTTAACATCCCCAATCATCAGGGACATGCATATTGTTTTTATCTTACCTCAGTAAGAATAGCTAAGACTCAAAGAAACAAATAATGACAAGTACTGGTATGGATGTAGGGAAGAATACTCATTCACAGCGATAGAAATATAAACTGGTACATATACTATGGAAATCAGTATAGACTTTCTTAAAAAAAAAAAGCTGACAATATAGTTACCATATGATCTAGATATCCCATTCTTAGCAGTACATCAAAAGGACTCAATTATACCCTATCATAAAGATACATGTGCTCTTTCTCTTTCGGTCCCAGGCGTTTTGGGAGCCGCCGGATATCGTTCAGATATGGCCAACTCCAAGAACCACACCACACACAACCAGTCCCTGAAATGGCACAGAAAAGGCATCAAAGATATGAATCTCTTAAGGGGGTTGACCCCAAGTTCCTGAGGAACATGCCCTTTGCCAAGAAACACAACAAGAAAGGCCTGAAGAAGATGCAGACAAACAACGTGAAGGCAATGAGTGCACGCACAGAGGCCACAAGGCTCTTGTGAAGCCCAAGGTGGTAAAACCCAAGATGGTAAAACCCAAGATGACAAAGGGTCCCAGCTGCAAACTCAGCCATCTGGCTTTCATCACTCACCCAAAGCTTGGGAAGAAGATTAGAAACTACATGGCCAAGGGTCGTGGGCTCTGCCAACCAAAGCCCAAGGTTCAAACCAAGGCAGAGGCCTCGGCTCCATCTAAGGCCCAGGCTGCAGCTCCAGCTCAGGCTCCCAAAGGCACCAAGGCCCCATAGAAATGGTTTCTGCCACTGTGAAGACAGATGAACTGGTGTGACACATCTACACACTCTGCAGATGACCTGTGCCCTATGCTGTTTTTGCAAATAAACTTGAGGTAAGATCTGTTTAAAAAAAAAAAAAAAAAGATACAAACTCAGCCATGTCCCTTTGCTGCTCTATTCACAACAGCTTAGAAACTATGACATCCATCAACTGACAAATGGAAAACAATACATATTTACACAGTGTAATATTACTTAGGTATTAAGAAAAATGAAATATAAAATCTACAAATAAATGTATGGAGCTTGAAACAATCACCCTGAGATACCCCATACCCAGAAAGACAAATGTTTCATGTTTTCTCTCATTTGTGGATGCTAGCTTTGAATATTCAGATATCTGATGTGTTAGGAATACCTATAGAAGTCAGGAAATAAATAAGGGCCCATGGGCAAGGCAGAAAGAATACACCAGTGTAAAAGTTTAAAAGGGAATTAGGGAACGGGAACAGAAAAGGGTAAATTGTGGTGAAGGAGGAAGGTAGAAGAAGGAAACAGGGAGGGATAAGAAATATTAAAGACTTCAAAAAATGTCATAATATGGAAACCTACTACTACAGATAACTACCCACATACATTTAAAAAATTGAAATAGAGTTAAGATATAATAGGGGAATAATTTGGCTCTACAAGACCATCAGAGCTAACAAATAAAAGCCCAGTAACAGAAAAGAATTACTTCTTTTGGAGTTCTTGGAAAGTGAGGTCCCAAAGACCACCAGACATTGTAGGCTATTTTGTCCTTGGTTATCCTCCAGAACTTTGTAAGATCCTACTGCTAAAGACACCGCACATTTGAATCACAGGTCATGGAAAAATCATGCTAATAGTTATTTGAAGCATTTTCAATGGATTTAACAAATTCCATAAGAAGTTCAACATACTTACCCA